CTCTGCTGCCCTCTTGTCCACTCGAATGAAGTAACACACTCTGAGAAAGACACATGATCTGGAATGGAAGGAAGCTCAACCCAGAGCTCATAAGGAACTGATGCCTCAGGCCAGCAAACCATGAGGAACTAAATCCTGCCAACAACTACCTGAGTGAGCTGGGAAATAGATCCTGCCTGGATGAGCCTTGAGATGACTGCAACCTTGTGAGAAACCCAAAGGACCTGTTGAGACTTGCCTGGATTCCTGATCCACAGAAACTGAGTTAATAAATGTTTTAAGCCACTAAGTATTAAAGCAATTTATTGCACAACAATAGAAAGCTAATGCATGCATTCTAAGGGGATTTTCCTTTTCAGGATGAGTCTCTTTTTTGCAGGAAGTTTATTTTCAGTGTACTTTTCTTAGTTCTGCCCCTACTTGGCCCTTTCACTTCATATTTCTTTATTTTACTTTCTTGATTCTAGCTGTGATTGACAGTGATTTAACACAATGCAAAATTTGGTGATTATTTATCTCTCAGCTTCACTGAAAATAAAGTTTTCAGAATCGTTTTCAACTTTTTTGTTGCTCTTGTATGATTTCCAGGGAAAGGGGGCGAAACTACTAACTTATGGAGCTGTGTTTATAGCAAATAATTTTTTTTCTGCAAGTCCCTGATTAAAATTGAGTATTAATTTTATTTCATATGCATTTCCTTCTGTGTAAATTATCTATTTTTGCCAGTTAACCACCATTCTATTAGTGTACTTGTATTTTTCTTATTGGTTTGTAAGAGCTCTTTGTATATTAAAGACATTAACTTTCATCCTTCAAAAAATGTTTGTAAATATTTTCTGGAGGTCTGCTACTTATCCTTTAAAACTGAAAAGGACTTCAGTGATTCCTATATCTTTAGTATCTTCATTCCAAAACAAGTTTTTATTACTTCTGTACTCAGATTTACCACCGATTTTCATTATTACTCGATATTCTAGTCTTGCTCAAGAGAACCTTAAGAAAACAGGGCTTCTCTGACTTGTGAGAGTTGAAGTTTGTGTATATACTCTACAATGACATCCAAAAGCAAAATAAACATTCCTTCAAACTTTAAAGGCAGTATATTAAGTAATAAAATATAGAAAACATTGAATTTTTTTTTTACAATATCATTCTCTTCACCCATCCTCCCCCCCTCCCCTCCCCCTCCCCTTTCCCCGTAGTCTAGGGCTCCATTTGGATTGCAGCTTTCCTAAGATAGCTAACAATTAGTTTCATAATAGTGTTGAGTACATTGGATACTTTTTCTTCCATTCTTGAGATACTTTGCTAAGGAGGACATTTTCCAGCTCCATCCATGTAAACATGAAGGAGGCAAGGTCTTATTTTTAAAAAATTTTAAAAGGGGGCTTTGAAAAAAAGTCAATATTTGTTTAAAGATCATGTGTCTGGAATGTATGATAAAATGTTGACTTGACTTTTCTTTTTCCAACTGGAGTACTAGTATGCCTCAATACTTCTTTTCCCTATTGGTTTAATATGCTTTAGTTATCATATGTGACTGTTTGTGTAACTATTGTCTGGACTTTCTGTTAATGTGTTTATTTATTCTCTCCCTTTATTATTTTCTATTATGCTATTATCTACATCAATACCACACTGTTTTAAATACTCTAGCACTAAAGTATTCCAATTCCTTCATTCAATGACCATGTGACCTTAGTAAATCTCTCTTTCAGCTTCCATCTTACAGTATGTTTTTAAAGAATTGAATACATAAAAGATTTAGGTAAATAACTATTTTAGCTCCATGCCTCCCACAAAATAGGGCATTCCACAAATGATCATTATTAGTGTCATTGTAATGCAGGATGAAATTGAAGTATGGACAAAAAAATAATGATAATAATAAGTTAGCAAGTATTTTTAAAATACAGCAAACTTTGCTTTTATCTTTTGTTTTTCCCCACCTGTTCAAGTTGCAAGGAAACTCGTCTCTGTTGGGGATGATCACTTCAGATTCTGGAAGATATTCTGTTCTCCTAGGCTAATGATGTGACAAGTGCAAGGAACAAAGTACTCCTATGTAGGGCGCTTTGGAAAGGGAGACAGCTCAAGAACAAAGAGGAGACCTGGCACCTCACTGGGATCCTTACAGGAAGGCCTGAAGGCTGCTGTGCACTGTTGCTTAGCAACAGGCAAATGTACAAGAAAAGAAGTCAAAGGTATCACAAAATCAGACAAATTTTACTCTCTCACTCACCCATTTATTATTTCTACATTGTGCATAAGTCAAAGAAATATAGATGTGACTTCCAAAAAAAAAAAAAGCCAACCAGATTGTGAAGGGAATACAGCTTAAATACAGGCATAAAAACATAGTAGGTATCCAAGATAAAAGTATACAGATGAAAGTTCATGTGTGGACAGCTGGGTTCCAGGTACAACAGAATCATTCTGGGCAATGTAGTGAGCAAGTACTTTGGAGCATGGGTTTAAGAGTGTAAGGCAAGCCAATGTTTTTGAGAAGTTTAACATTTTCTAAGGAAGAGAAGGCAAGTATTCAAATAATAGCATCACAAGGCAGAATCATGTCACAACTGGGGAACACTAACTTTCATGTCCTCAAAGGTGGGAGAGATCAAAGCTTGGGTGAGCATCCAGAAAATCTTCACCAAAGACGTTTTCAAAGTTAAGCAGGAAAAGAAAAAGTTAAGTAGGGTTTTGAACAAGTACATGTGGGAGTGAGAAAGTACATTTCAAGATATACGGGAAGAAGTTTCAGGCATGCATAGAACAATGATAACACTAAATTCCCTGCAAACTGGGATTCTACTAGAATGGAAGCAGTAAATGATAAAGCTTGTGGCAGTCCTTGGATGCCAAGTGTGAAGAGCTGTGCTTCACTGAGTAGGCACTGAAAGATGGATGGGGGGGGGTGTCAAATGATCAATTAAACTTTTAGAGATTAATCCAGTAATGGTCATTTTGATTGGAATGGTGGAGAACAGTGTATTGGAGCACGTGGTGAAGAAAAAATCTAAACAGCCCAGGTGAGAGAGGAGACTGTAAACAAGGAGCCACAGGAATGGGAAGAAGAGGACAAATGATGGAGACACTGCAGAGATAAAACTTGAAAACGGGTGACTGATCTGGTTCAGGAGCTCATCAGAGTGGGGAGAGTGGGAATTTGCTCAGGCTATAAGCCAAGTTTACTACACAGCAGTAAAAGAAAAATAGATTAAACTGCACAGTAGAGGAGACTAAGAGGAGAAGAGGAAAAGGAAGAGAAGGAGGCGAAAGAAACATTTTTGCCTTGCTAAGTTTGGAGTGTTCACGGTACCCTCTGGTGGTGACGTCCACTAAATGGAAGATGAGATACAGTTAGAGTCTTGAGGCGGGTCCAGGCTTTGGTAATTATCCACATGTAGGGTGCAGTTGAAGCACATGCGTAGATGTTAACACAAAAGAGAGAGACTGGGTATCATCTTGAAGGAAGAGGCTGGAGAGGGGCAGAGGATGAGTGGTTAGAGAGAAGGACACAAAAAAAGTGGCGGCAGCAGTGAGGAAAGCCTACTGCCGCACACCAGCCTCCAAGAGGGGGAGACCTACAGGAAGACACATGGATGGTCAATTATGGGTGTATTTTTTTCTCTTCTTTTTTTTAATCTTCTACAGAGATCAGGTAGCACTTCTGCAAAAATATTTTTCATCTGTTTATTTTAAAGAAATCATTCATTATCAAAAGAGGCAAATACCATCAAGGCAGAGGAGAATAAGGCTGGGATGAAGCTCCCCGTAGTGATTAGGAGATCATGGGTGTCCTCATGGAAATATCTTTCAGCTGGGTGGGGGAACAGCTGAGGATGACACCAGGCTATAGACAGACCAAGCGACTCGTTGGCAGCATGGGCACTTGAAGGGGGGAGAGAGATGAGGGCATGTTTCTCAGGAAAGAGGTTTAGAGACTAATTTGTTGAAGAGGAGGATGATAAAGAGGAACAGTTTGAAGAGTCCTGTAGGAGTGTCCCCGGTGTCCCGTAGGAGTGTTCCCAGTCCTTGTCTGAGAAGGGGAAAGAAGCAGGGAGGGCATGGGACCAAGAGCACAGGTGTTTGTCTTGAGAAGTCACAAACAGCAACCTGTCTTTTAACACAGACTATTTGGGTTTGGGGTGAAAAAATAGGGAATGAGGCTGAGAGATTTTAAAGTGAATCAAAGGAAGCTGAGGAATCTCCAGTTGAATGGTTTGAGGGATAAAACTGTGCATAAGGAAAGTTTGAGAAGTGCTGAGAAAATAATAGAGAGGCCACATAATTCTTACCACACCAGAAGTCTTTTTCCTCTTACATCTCAGGACTCAGACAGAGATAGGCCAACTTCTCCATGTCAAGAGCTTCAGTAGATCCCAATAGCAACACAAAAGAAATGACACCTAGACCCATGGACCTTAACAATTACGGAACAGACTAACAGACCAGGCTATCACAGAGAACGTAGTTATTACAGGGATCTGAAAATGTGCACATTCCAGACAACACGCTCTGCCACTCACACGCACCAGTCACGCCACACTCTGTCTGTAGTATTCAGACACTGGAAATGCTTCCATGGAAGGGGTGAGATCTTCACTGTAATAACTGGCTAGAAAACTTCCAAGTGATGAAAAGATAAATGTGGTTCGCAGGTTAAAGCAGAGGATAACTACAGTTTCCAAAATTTTCTCCAGTCTGATTCAACAGCTAAATATTGCATGACAGGTCAGGATCCCTGCAGCCAGTTCCCAGAAGGATCATTTTAAATGTCAAGAGAATGGCCACAAAGAAAGTAAAAGTTTCCCGATTGTTTGACCACATCAAGTCTCACAGGAAACATGGCCACACCAGCTAAACTCTTGTTGAGTACATAAAGTGACACTAACCCACATTTCAGGACATTTGCTCTCAACTTGTGATAAGTTACTGAATCCTGTTTTATTGTGTTGTTCTTCTAATAACTAACTGTAGCAAAGACAGAGGAAACATTAAATGTGGCAAAGAGGGAAGTTATTTCTCTTTGTGTCCACACCAGGAGCATTGAAGTCTCTTCGAGATTTCTCTTCAACTGTAATGCAAGGTGCCCCACATCTCAGGAAACAGCTCTTCTGCAGCACAGCTCTCAGCCTGGAGTTGCTAAGAAGCAGAATGATGGGGTGAACTGCCATGCACAGATAAATCACTGTATGCCACACCCAGAACCTAAGAGCCCAAGATGGAATAATCCTGGCAGCACTGAGCACCAGGGACAGGAAATAGGAGAGGAAGAGGATGGCGAAAGAGATGAGAGTCAGCAGAGCCTTGATGTGTGCTTGGGTGCGGGGCTCCTGAAATCCCGAGATAGTCAAGAGGGATTTCTTCACGTGTCTTCCCAGAGATGTGATGAGCAAAGTCACACAGATGAAAAAGACAGCAGTAGGGACTGTCCAAGTCACCATTTTTAGGGGAAAGAGGTAGAATTTCTCACATGAGCTCCTTATACTCTCCCTGGTAACATTCAGCAGATTGCTCCTTAAATTGTTCTGATATATTCTCTGGTTGCCTATGAAAAATAAGATGGTGCTGAAGCTGGAGAGCCCCACAGAACTGAGCAGCATCCATGGTACCCACCCAGATAACTTGTGCTTTAGCCAGAGGAAGACAGGGTGGGTGAAGGTTGCAATTTTCACACAGTAGAACACACTTAGCCAGGTGGAGAACCATAAGGTGGCAGCATTCAGGAAGTCCCACTGGAAGGCTATAAACTGCAGCACAGGGCTATACAGGAAGGCCGTTGGATGCAGGAAAATGTAAATGTTCCTACACAGCAGCACCCACTGCAGACAGAAGCGAGAGGCCGCTAGGCTGATCAATAACTTATCACAAGGCAACAACGTTCTCCGTAGCAACCACTCCATGCCCAGCACTGCAGTGATGAAGCCGTTGCCAAGCACTGCCACCAGGAACAAAAATAATAAAATGATAGCAAAGACCACAGCTTTCTGATCAATCACCAGAGAGTCTGGAACTGTGTGCTCTCTGCTCATGTCTCCGGAAGGATCCCAAGGCTTCAAGGACTGCTTTTGTTGGGTTACTCTGCAAGTCCTGTATGTGTTTGTACTTCCAGCTGCACCAGTGCAGAGGCTAGGTCTGAGCAGAGGACACATGCTGTCTGAAAAGGGAGAGAAGGTTTCTCCTTCTCAGAACAAATGCAAATATTGTCAAGGCTCAGTTTCCAAAACCCCCACATCTGCCCGTAAATTTGCCTGCTCTTCAGCCTTTTCTGTGCCCGTGTCAACATTGGCGTGGATAATGTATCAGGCCCTGGCATTTATTGTCCCTTACACGGAGGTTACACCTCCTTAAGGTGACACTTGAGATATGACCACACACCTGCTGGCAGCCCAGTGTTGATATCTACAGTGCATGCTCCCTACTGAGGGTCAGAGCTCACGTCCCTGGCTAGGGGTGATAGTTATGTTCCAGGAATTGGTCCGGGCTCTCTCTGTAGTACTTAGATCTTACCTGTGAACAGGTGCTATGACATACTCCTCTAACAGAGAAAAAAACTGGACCAAACTACTACAGAGAGAAATTAAGTCAAGTCTTATCATTTATGGTGGCAATCATCATAAACAGAACAGAAGACACAATTATATGTAATTAGGCAGGTAAAATTTTTTCCAGATTAAAAAAATTATCTAATAAATAGTAACTTTTAAAAATGGCATTTCACAGGGGAACCCTCACCAGGATAACTATAAAGTCAACGGGACGTGGCAGAAAGAAGCCCTGGACTAGATGTCATGACAAGCTTTAGTCCAAGCTCCCCTGACCATGAGTTATGGGGTACAGGATTTGTTAGCCCCTCCATGCCTCCTTTTGTTCATCAACAAAGTGTATAAAATTATCATGTGTTCTAATTCACAGGATTATCTTAGAATATCAGTTTGTAGGCTGAAAGAAGACATTAAACATAGTCTTATAGAAGAAAGAAATGAAGTCCCAAGTTATGGATTAAGACTCCCACCGGCAGTCACGGTTACACAGAGGAAAGACCAAGACCCACACTGACTCCAGGCCTGGGGATCTCTCCATAGTTAGCAGCACATCCTACACCCCCATCATCTTCACCTTTAGCTGGAGACTTTAAGTCTTGTCACTACCACTAACTAGGAATCTTTAGGTAGTCATTTAACCTCTCTGAACCCCTCTTTCTTCATATATTAAAAAAAAGGATAACAAATAAGTATAATAAAAAATACATGAAAGCACTTTAGAAATTAATCTCTGCATGTGAGAGGAGGGAGGAGGGAAAGAGAAAAGGAGAGGAGGGGGATTAGTAAGTTCTTACCTATGGACACATTGTGAGGATGTACCACACACCCACAGGATGAAGGGCACAACTGCTTCAACTACAACTTGAACTTTACCTTAAAAACACAAACAATGCAACCTAATCATTTGTACCTTCATATTAATCTGAATTAAAAATAAATAAAAAACAATGAGAAAAGATATTTATAAACTATACAATTTCCATGGGACTAAGCTATTTTAAGATTAAATATGTCATGTTTTGGCTCGGCGCCTATAGCTCAACAGGCTAAGGCGCCAGCCACGTACACCTAAGGTGGCGGGTTCGAGTCCCCAGCCCGGACCCGCCAAACAACAATGACGGCCGCAACCAAAAAATAGCCGGGCGGTGTGGCGGGCGCCTGTGGTCCCAGCTACTTGGGAGGCAGAGGCAGGAGACTCGCTTGAGCCCAGGAGTTGGAGGTTGCTGTGAGCTGTGATGCCACGGCACTCTGCCCAGGGGGACAGCTTGAGGCTCTGTCTCAAAAAAAAAAAAAAAAATATGTCATGTTTTAAAAGTTTACATTTTCAGTTATAATGCATTGTATTAGAAATTGCTTGTATTTTTCCCTTACCAAGACTTGATGATATGTGTGATCTCATTACCAAGAATATGATCTTATTGTGCTAATGCTTTTCCTGTGCTTGAAAAGAATGAATATCACCTATTCTTGGGATACTGGTTCAGTATATATTCACAAGAAATCCCTAATTTTTTAAGCTTATTAATTTTCATATTTTTTAAATTACAGATATATCATGTTTATTCTGTGCAACATGATGTTTTAACATGTATATATCATAGAATGGCTAAATCAAGCTAATTAACATAAGTTAATATACTGTATATTACTTCTCATAGTTATCACTCTTGTGAGAACATGTAATTTCTTATAATATTTTAAGAATACAAAATATTATTATTGACTATCTTCCATTCCATTCTATCCATGGAGTGACAAGTAGTCCAAACAGAATTCAAGAGCGCACCAGAGATGCAATACAAGTCCAGGGCACCAAACACTGGCCCATCCACATTAACCAGGGAAGGGTAGAGTAAGGAAAGAGTACATTCTCCACAGGAATAAGCTTCAAAGCATCGAAAAAAAAATCAGCAATCAACACCCAGGTGTGTGTAAGTAGGTAAATGTGTCACAGGGAGACAGCAAGCAGAAATTGTTCTGAGTTGAATACTGAGGGATCAGAATCAGGTAACCTGAGGGAGGGAGTTTTTAATAGTACGCTCAGCTCTGGGTCTTCACCAGAACCTACCAATTCCAATGCACAGGACCACCACAAAGAGGAAAAAGGAAACAGAAAACTAAGCATATCTTCCCAATTTCCAGTCCACCTCCAGGTGGAATTGTTTCTGCAACACAGAGGCCAATTATAGTGCACACCATGCTCCTGCATAAAGGGAAGAAGGTGAATTAAGGTAACTCATTCGCTCTGCCTTTCTGTGAAGATGCAAATTTCCAGGAGATAGAGTTTCCAGCTTCTCTCTTTCTAGGCCTTATTCCTCTGGCTGACAGTCTGTTTCCTACAGAACTTGGAAAAATGGGGCAAACTTTGGGGTCACATATCTGGAGATTTGCCAGCCACAAACTTCCCCACCTAGGGAAAATTCGTATGTTTTTCCCTCCATGTTCTACACCTTCAATATCTCATAAGATGAGAAAGATGTGCATTTAACCTTCAATTCATTTAACAATAATTTATCAAGCATAACCCGTATGTCATTATAACCCTATGAAAGCACCGGGGCTATAGCAATAGACTGGATATCCACCCTCAAAGTGCTTTCAGACACTAACCATAAACCACTAACATTTACTGAGCTTATACTCTATGCAGATTAAGTTAATTCAAAAGAGTGAATAATCATTTGTATCATAATCTGCAATGTGTTTTACAGTGATCTTTTTGTTTGTTTCATTTTGCTTTCTAATATGAAGATTTATCTTCCTGGGTAGAAGCCAACTCTGAGGATTTTTTTTTTAATTTTCATAGCTAGTCTTTATAAATGTAATTACAAGGATGGTAAGAGAGGAATTTTGAGTAGATTCTCTATATCACTTGTTCTCAACCTTCCTAATGTCGCAGCCCTTTAATACAGTTCCTGTGGGTTGCAACCCACAGGTTGAGAACCACTGCTCTATATGGAGAATCTTCAACTCAGTACTCTTCTCAAAGGATTAATAAAGGACTGACTCCCAGGCAGTGTTCTAAATGTTATGTATTATCTTATTCTCATCCCCAAAATTCTCAGAATAGTGCAGCAACAGCAGTAGTAGCAATCCCATCATTATGGTGAAACAAATGCACTATCTGTATGTCGGCAGTAAGAAGACAAAACATCAGTAAAAGAGAAAATGTGATTTAGTCCAGAGTAAGTTTGGCCACAGCGGATGATCCACGTGAAATGCTGGTGTATTAGGCTGAAAAGTTAGGTTGAAGAGAGATCATAGAAAGTTTTGAATGTTAGAATGAGATACTGGATTTTATCTTTAATCAAAATGGAACCACCAAGTGTTTGGAGGCTCTTACCAGCTGGAGTTTAGGAGAGGAGGTTAAGAACATCAACCTCCTTGGGAGGTTGAGAACTCCCAAGATAAGCCCAATAGATTTGGCATAACTAAAAAGGCTGCGAAAACATGGCAAAACATGAGTTGCAGCTCCATCCCCTACCTGCCCAAAGACTTCAGTAAAGTTCTGGAGCTTGGTCCAAAGGAAAGGCAGTTTTCTAGGTGCCTTCGCAGTTGAGTAGAGAGATATAAGAGACACTCCTGCCCTCACTGCCTCCACCCAATTCTCTGGTGGCTTGACGCCCAGGGCTCAGTTCTCCTACTTTGTTATTGTACTGCCTGGAGAAAGTCATTAGCTCACTAATGAGACTGCAAAAAAAAAAGGAAAAAACCATTCCTTGTGATTGCTGATGAGACTAATACACGGACATGTTCTCTGGGCATGATCATTCACTGCTGGACTTTAGGGGGTCTGTAAATTACTTTAAAGTCTAGCCATAGTTTGAGCTTCCCACAGGTTCCTCTATCCTGCCTTACCCTCTCTCTTTCTGGGAAAATCTGTGTGTTCCTCACCAGAAACTTGATACTATCCTCATTTAAAGCCATAATTGTCTTCCTTCAAGAGAAAAAACTCCTCACCCTGTTGTCTCATCTCCATTCCCCTCTCTTGTCGTGCCATAGTTTGGCCTCCAGCTATCATTGTAACATAAGCTTTAGGAGCCTCAGTGTCCCAGGATGGTTGGCCAATTTACCATAAGTGCAGTTATTTATTTGAGAAATCTCTGTAACCTCTGTTCCATCCTGCTTTTATTACTCCTATTTTGACTAGTTCAAACGTAAATTTCTCTTAACCATGTCTAGTGTTTTTCCCAATCTTTTCTAGTCTAATGGTCTCCAGATTTTTTATAGTAAACTTTGTCAGTAAAAATATATATATATATATGACCAGCAAATAAACAACCTACAATATGGGAGAAGATATTTGCATGGAATACATCCAACAAAAGGGCTGATAACCATTATCTATAAAGAACTCAAGCAAATCAAACAACCCATTAAAAATTGGGCAAGAGCTATGAACAGAAACTTTTCTTATGAAGAAAGACTAATGAACAACAAACACATAAAAAAGTGCTCATCATCTCTAATTATTAGGGAAATGCAAATCAAAACCACACTGAGATACCACCTAACCCCAGTGAGAATGGCCCACATCAAAAAGTCACAAAGTAACAGATGCTGGTGTGAATGTGGGAAAGGACACTAATACGCTGTTGGTGAGACTGCAAATTAGTACAGTATCTATGGAAAGTAGTAGGGAGACTCCTCAAAGAAGTAAAATTATACCTACCATTTGATCCAGAAATCCCACTGCTAGGTATTTGCCCCCAGGAAAAAAGACATTTTATCATAAAGACAACTGCACTGAAATGTTTTTAGCAGCACAATTCACAATTGTAAAGATGTGAAATCAACCCAAATGCCCATCGATACATAAGTGGATTAATAAAATGTGCTATATGTATACCATGAAATATTAGTCAGCCATAAAAAAAGTGGAGATCTGGATCTTTTGGGACATCCTGGATGGATTTGGAGAGCTTGCTCCTAATTGAAGTAGCACAAGAATGAAAAAATAAACACCACATGTACCCAATACTAAATTGGAACTAGTTGCTCAACACCTATAAGTTCGTGTGGAAGCAAAACATATGAAATTTAAGGAAGGGGGGCGGAGAGGAGGAGTAAATTCCCACCCAGGAGGTATACTGCACAGGTACATTGTGCATTGTCTAGGACAAGAGGACACCTATAACTCTGACTTTATCCACATGAAAGCAAACTATGTGACCAAATGGTATGTATCCTCACAGCAAAATGAAATTGGAAAAAACATATGACCATGCAGCCTGCCTGCTATGGACTGAATATTTGCATCCTCCCAAAACAAATCTCCAGTGTGATAGTATTTAGAAATGAGGTTTGGGGGAGGTAATCACGACATGAAAGTGGAGTTTTCAGGAATAAAAGGAAGAAACACAAGACAGATAATCTCTCTTCACCAGCAAGAAGGTGTCTGTCTACAGCCTGACAGAGAATTCTCTCCAGAACCCAGTCACGTTGCTACCCTCAGCTTCAGGTTCCTGAACTGTGAGAAATAAATGTCTGTTATTAAATCGCCCAATCTATAACATTCTATTATAACAACCTAAGATAACCGAGGCTTTACCATATGCAAATTTATTTTATTTAGGTGTGCGTCCTTTACAAATACATTATGTACATCATAAAATATACAAAAAATAGGAATTGAAAGGAGGATATAAAAAAGTAAAAAGGAAACTGAAGTTGTCACATTTTTCTTCCCACACCTAGTGGTCCATCTTGCATAAGCCCTGGGATGCAAACACCCCAATTTGAATATTACCACCCAAGGCAAGCAGCAGGCAAAATCCTCCTCCTGGGTGCAGGAGCAGGAAGACGAGGATTATCAAAATTAGGAAGTGTAGAGAATTTCTTTTGTTTTCCATCTGTCCTCTCTGGGCCAAAACCTAAAAGCATTTCCACATCAGACAGGTCCTTTCCCTTTAATACCCAGTGAACACATGAAGTCGTGAGACCTGTTACAGCGCAAAACTCATGTGTGTCCCAGCCTCCTGTGGAATCAAGCTGAAAGAGCTCCCGGGCGGGATTAGTCTAAAGCAGGACACAGAAGAGGTAATGACAAAGATAGGCAGAGAAAGGAAAGAGGGAAGCTGCAGGGGCCGAAGGGCGAGGCAGAAGGGAAGGGGTGGAAGAGGCTGACAATGGAGAGACTGAGCTGAGAGCAGAGCCACAGAACAGGAGGGAAGCTGGTGTCACAAGCTGTGTGGTGCTGGACAATCTATGCCACTACTCACAAACAAACTTCAGTTTACCCACAGAGACAACTGACAACAATGACAGGTCCCCATGAATGGAGCAAAGACCAAAAGGATGCCTGGAGAATATGGTAGGGTTGCTTATCCAAAGGGGCCTACAAAGAAAGGAGGCCTACAGCTAAGGTCATGGTGATTTGGGACTCATAGACTAGGGATTACCGGCAGCAAAAGACGGGATACACAAAGAATTAGTGGGAAGGAATGCAAAAAGTGAAAAGAAAAAGACAGTCCTCAAATCTTGTGCATTCTTGCCACTCATGGGATCATTCATCCCAGTCGTGGCTGTCAGCACTGAAAACTGGAGCATGGAATCGCCCTTTGTCCTGGGCCTTCCAAAGCCTTGTGAGCCTGCGGCACCTGAGTCCGAAGCCTCATCTGCAAGGCCTTTCTCAGCTTGGGGCTGTTGAGCACCAGGATGGTGGAGTGCAGAGAGATGCCTGCATAGATGGCCACTTCCCAGCCCCAGTGCCAGTAATTAGTGAAGGTTTTAATTTCCATGATAGCAATGTTCAAGGACAGGAAATACATGACATAGAAGATGAAGAAGAAGGCAAGTGACTTCAGAGCCACGGTGTGGGCCTGGGTGCTGGGGTCACGGGGGCCGAGACCACGGTCCTGCATCCGCCCCAAGTGCCGGCACAGTGAGAACATGAGCAGGATGGTGGACGTCAGGAACAGGAGGAACGGAACGGACAATATAATATAATCTTTTCATGAGGCATAAAATAGCTGTTCTTAAACATCTCTATTTTGTAAGTCAAGGTGCTGTTCCCACAGGAATTCAGCGAGGCCATCATCTGAGCCACCATTAGATTCCCAACCATTGAGGAGATGACCGTGAGGCCGCAGATGATCAGGGAGCCCAGCATCAGCCTGGGCACTGACCGAGAGACCCTCCACTTCAGCCAGAAGAAGGTGGGGTGGGAGAAGGAGGAGATCTTCACACAGTAGAAGACAGCAAGCCAGGCAGTATGCCAGAAACTGAGAACATTGAAAAAGTCCCAGATGATGTTAAAGAACAAGTAACACTTGCAACAAAAATTAATGCTACCCAGAAGGCCGTTCAGCAAGGCTACTCCATGTAGGCCCAACCGGGAGGTAGCAATGCAGGCCACAATCATGTCACCTGCAGGCAGCTTCTGGCCTCGTATCCACTCCCTGCCCAGCACAGTGACTATGAAGCCATTCTGCAGCATTGCAGCCAGTGACTCCAGGCAAAAAATGACCAGAAAGATGGACGTGAAGAAGGACATCTTCTCAAGGCAGGTTCTCCTAAGACTCAGCTCCTAGTCCAAAGGGCTGGGACACTCCCAAGCAGAAAACCACCCAAATGAGACCAGAGACACCCAATCCCCTCTCCCTGGATTCATGCAAAAGCCCAGTGACCAGCAAACACCCTACTCTCCCAGTGTCCCCGCAAAGATGATTTCTGCAATCTCCCTTGGCATGCAAATCGCTGCCAGCTCAGTGACACCCTGTTTCTATTTGCATAACCTGTATTTGCCTATGCTTTATCAGGGCATCTGCAGGGAAATGTTAACAGACAAGGGCTCCGGGGGTGACTGAAAAAACTCACATTTTGCACATTATTTCTTAGCTATACTACTTCTTTCCCGAATTATCATCAAAATCGGCTGTTACTCATATTTGTCTCCCTGAACCAAAAACTTTCCCTGATCCTTCACGTCCCAGGATAACATTTTATTCAGTAGCCTCTGTATCCTGCACTAAGTCCAGACTCCTGAAGAGTGGAATAGGAAATCAACTATATACATGAAGCCTGAAAACATCAAGAAAGACTCCCTAACCACGGACCTCTCACATTGTGTACTGCACTGCCACCTTCCATACTGGAGTTCATTGAGTCACCAGCTAAAATATGAATTTCTCTGATGTGTTAACATCAAATTTAGGGGGTGACGGGGTGTTTTGTTTTGTTTTGTTTTGTTTCTGAGACAGAGTCTCACTTTGTCGCCCTGATAGAGTGTCATGGCATCATAGCTCATAGCAACCTTAGACTCTTCAATTCAACTGATTATCTTGCCAAGCCTCCCAAGTTGCTGGGACTACAGGTGCCAGACACAATGCTCAGCTATTTTTAGAGATGGGGGTCTCGCTCTAGCTCTAGCTGGTCTTGAACTCCTGAGGTCAGGTAGTCCACTTACTTCAGCTCCCAGAGTGCTGGGATTATAGGTGGGAGCCATGGAGCCCAGGGTAACATCAAATTTGTTATCCATCAACACCGTAGGTCCAATGTATTTGACAGACCAAAACTAACCAGGTCTGAAGAAGGTTCTGAGGAAATGAGGGATTACATAAGTCCTAAGGAGAAAAAAAAAAAAAGATAGAGAAAAAAATGTTGGTTTTAAAGCCCTGGGCAGCAGTGATTTTTGTTGCAAATGTCACTTGTTCTTTAACATCATCTGGGACTTTTTCAATGTTCTCAGTTCCTGGCATACTGCCTGGCTTGCTGTCTTCTACTGTGTGAAGATCTCCTCCTTCTCCCACCCCACCTTCTTCTGGCTGAAGTGGAGGGTCTCTCGGTCAGTGCCCAGGCTGATGCTGGGCTCCCTGATCATCTGCGGCCTCACGGTCATCTCCTCAATGGTTGGGAATCTAATGGTGGCTCAGATGATGGCCTCGTTGAATTCCTGTGGGAACAGCACCCTGACTTTCAAAATAGAGATGTTTGGGTACAGCATTTTATGCCTCATGAAAAGATTATATTGTCCGTTCCGTTCCTCCTGTTCCTGACGTCCACCATCCTGCTCATGTTCTCACTGTGCCGGCACTTGGGGCGGATGCAGGACCGTGGTCTCGGCCCCCATGACCCCAGCACCCGGGCCCACACCATGGCTCTGAAGTCACTTGCCTTCTTCTTCATCTTCTATGTCATGTATTTCCTGTCCTTGAACATTGCTTTCGTGGATATTAAAACCTTCACTAATTACTGGCACTGGGGCTGGGAAGTGGCCATCTATGCAGGCATCTCTCTGCACTCCACTATCCCGGTGCTCAACAACCCCAAGCTGAGAAAGGCCTTGCAGATGAGGCTTCGGACTCAGGTGCCGCAGGCTCACAAGGCTTTGGAAGGTCCAAGACAAAGGGCGATTCCATACTCCAGTTTTCAGTGGTGGGGTGACAAGAGCAGCTCTGGACACAGCTGGCCCACAGGGAGGGAGCCCTGTCCTGTAACAATACTTAGGACCTGTTAAAATGCCTTGCTGTTCATAAAGTGATTTCACACACTACATCAAGTGCCGGCACAGTGAGAACATGAGCAGGATGGTGGACGTCAGGAACAGGAGGAACGGAACGGACAATATAATCTTTTCATGAGGCATAAAATAGCTGTACCCAAACATCTCTATTTTGTAAGTCAAGGTGCTGTTCCCACAGGAATTCAGCGAGGCCATCATCTGAGCCACCATTAGATTCCCAACCATTGAGGAGATGACCGTGAGGCCGCAGATGATCAGGGAGCCCAGCATCAGCCTGGGCACTGACCGAGAGACCCTCCACTTCAGCCAGAAGAAGGTGGGGTGGGAGAAGGAGATCTTCACACAGTAGAAGACAGTAAGCCAGGCAGTATGCCAGGAACTGAGAACATTGAAAAAGTCCCAGATGATGTTTAAAACAAGTGACATTTGCCACTAAACCATGTGATTTGAGGAGCTTGTTCAGATTAGCCACCCCAAGCTCATGAGGCTCTGGGAAAAGGTCCCATGAAAAGAAAGAATGCCTAAGAATATAAAAAAAGAAAAAACAAAAGGTGAGCAGGAAGAGAAAGGAGGAGGGTGGAACAAAGAGGAATGTGTGGACCAACAGGGAAGGGGATCCCCTCTGTGTTTGTCTAACATCCTGGAATCAGGGTCCTCCCCCAAGACGAAACACAAAAAAACCGGCCTTGCTGCTCACTCTCTCTGTGGTCTCATTCAAGATTCTGCAGGTGAGAGGTCTATAAGAGAAAGATTAAAGAGAAATAAAAATAAGGACAAACATTTATAGAGCAGACTTGGAAAAAAAATAGAGAAGTTCAGCTGACCCTCCAATGTACCGTTCGCCTGAAGAGCATTTTGGTTTCAGTATACTCTCCAAAGATTACCAAACTAAAGTTAATCCAGTGTGATCAACTGTTTTGCAACACACAGCATCAGTGTCTCCATTCAATTCTTTACATGTTTTCCTTTGGTTTCTTCTTGAAGACACCAGTGATGAGAGGCTTCGGCATGTTTCACAACCTTTTGGCTCTTCTCAAAATCCTCTGGCAAGAACCCAGCATCATGATGTCATCAAGAAGCAAGTCGAGGCCATGGTACACACGCCCTGTTGTGGCCACATGTGACTCAGTAGGCATTGTGTGTTCACGAGTACCCTTCATGTTCCTTGCACAGTCACCAAAGCAAGCACATTCCCAGAACCAGTCTTCGCTGGAACTTTTCCTTTTCTACAGTTCTACAGCACTTCAGAGGGAATGTTTTCTTCTATTTCAATACTCTTCTATAAGAAGTTTAAACAAGTACATTTCCCCCCAAACACCCATTTATCCATTTTTTAACAATACTTCACTAGATATGTTTTAGAGAGGTCCTGTGTCACATTCATCATCTGCCTCCAACAGAGGCCACATGCAGGATAATGATTTTAGTTGTCTTCAAGAGCTCTTCAATTATGAAATAGCAATCAAAATGCTACATGCTTTGCACAAGAGTTTGGTTCACGTTTTTCTTTTCTAAAGGTGTCTGATGCCTATGAATGAAACTGATGAATTCTCTTCTGTAGCATGATTAGCAATATTGTGTTTTAGGATGACGCCTGAGGCCTCTGTGCAATGTTACTAATGTTCAGCAGGAGGCTGGATTATAAGTGGAAGATTCTAGAAAGGGCTTCTCCTATTTCCTTCACTTTAGTCCACTACGCTAGTCAAATGGCCTTTGATTTCTGTTGTTTAATATGAGTTTTTTTTTTTATTTTTCTTATTGCATTCAAGAATGTATGGGTCTATCTAGAGACCTATAAATATATTTTATTTGACCGAGTTTGTCACTCTTGGTACCCACTGGACTTTTCAGTGACCTGTGGTGCTAAAATACTTCCAGATTTTCCATAACTTCATCAGGTAACTAATGGCCTGTGCCAGGGAAAAGTAGAGGAGGAAGAAAATAATGTTCTTGATGGCTACACTGCACATACATGTTAAGCTATACCATGCACAAATTCAATTATGACTTCCCCATAGAATAAGCTCTAAATGTTTTTTCTGGTCCCACAGACCTCCTCACACATTTACATTTAGGCAAGACAGTTATGATAAACAATAGCTATCCAATATAAAAGAAATTAACTTTGCAAAAATAAATTAGGAATTCCGGAATTCCAATATCTCCACATTACCAAAATGTGAAAGCACAGTTAAATGTCTGACATTCAGGTAAATCTACACACTTGCCTTTTGAATACAAAATAGCATTTTAATCTTAGTTTTACAATTATAAAATTAGCCTGCAAGGAAGTTGAGTTAAATTTTATTCTAACTAAAAAAAAAATTTTTAGAATAGTTCTTTCTCTTAGTCTTACTCCATCTGAGCAATTAGAAACAACATAATTAATCGATAAAGGATTAAATCAATGCTCTTTTTCTGACACCATAAATTTCACTCACTGTCTGCCATCTACAAGAGGGATAAGCTGTGTCCAACAACTTCCCAATCACTGGTTTATAAACCATGCTTTCCAGGGATTTCTTATAGTAGGGAAAGGAAAGGTAGGAAGAAAACTGAGAAAATAGTACTACAAACCCTTACTCCCTCTTCAAATACAGCACTTCTGCTTATGTCTATTCTATATACAGAGCTTCTACATGAGAATGCAGTTAAAAATAGGTCTCCAGTGCAAGAAACAATTAGCAACTGTCTCAGATCAAAAGTTCACAGGAGACATAAGGACAGATCACATCAATGCATCTTCTTTCGCTCTCTTCCCAAAACTCTTCTAAATTAACTGTAAAAGAATTTTTTAAATTATCTTTAAGGCTTAAGTCCATAATAACAGAGAAGACAAGAAAACAAAACACATTTAGGAATCTGGAAAGTAGATGGAAGAGTAAAATAAGACAATGCAGCTCTGAGAAAACTGAGTCCTACCTAAGGAGAAGTCAAGAACAAAGCTGGCTTTTACTCAGGATTTGCAGTACCAGATGTCTCCAGAGAAAAATGAGCTAAAAATCAGTTTAAGATTCAGATTCCTAAATCAC